ACTTGGTCAAGGTGGTTAGGCGATAACAAACTTATATTTAAAAATTATACGTCCAGATTATCTCACGATGTTTTTCTTCACCGTAAATAATTACAGAAAGTACATATAACTCGAAAATAGTGGCATTCGTACTTGCCAGGTTTCAAACCGCACCCCCATCCATGAGATGCGGGCGCCTTAACCTCTAGGCCACCACGATCTGCGGTGAAATAATGCATTACATTACATTACATTTAATTACCTTTTCTATGAGGCGAGAACCAAACCAGCAAGGCACCATTATTTGGAGAGTCATGACAACTATATATAGTGTTAGAAACACAAAATATTGAGTTTCTGCTGGCTGAAAAATACAAAACAAAATCTATAAAAAACGTATAGCATTTTTTTGATATAAAAAACATTTTTGTTACAAGTGACCTTACCATTGTAAATCGAAATAAGCACATGCATATCTTACAAGAACCAGAACTAAATAACACAAACAATATTCCACTAAAGGCTTCTTGAATTAACTTGCAATATCTGAAATAACATACGAAAAATTAAAATAAGCCTGAACCAAAGTAAGGCTTAAAAACAAAAATAATGAAATAAGGAACTTACTCGCAAACCGCGTCGTAATGTTTAATACATTTATTGATCTCCAAAACGGCATTCTGATCATCTATCATTTTATCAATAGATCCCCGAGGCGCATCGACATTCAAACAAACATCCGTCACTTTCCTCAATTTCCTATCGAGAATATCCAACTGAGCCATTGCAAGAAACATAACTCCCAAAAGAAATGTATCGATGTTCACGTTGTACAACATATGAGAAGTGATCCCTATACTTTGATACAAGTAAGCTGGATACAAAAATATCGCTTCGTACTGCTCCGGTATAAAGGAGTATCTACACACAGGAAACTCCAACTTAATAGGGAAAATTAAGTGCAGAACAAATGGTAGGAACACATTCACCGTGTTCGCCGACACAGACAATCCAAATGTAATCTTCCAATAAAACAAAGATTTCTCTTTGGCTTTTTCTATTAATTTCACTTCTTCAGGATTATCAGTTTGAAACATTTCGCTTTCTAACATATCCAACATTTTCTTTACTTTATCACGCAAAAAAATGAACGCTAATGCTTTAGACAGAGCGCCGACGTTTGTAAAATAGAATATTAGTTCTTCAGCGAAAATTTCCAATTGTTGTGGCAAGAAATAGAAATTCATTGTGTATATAACAACAAATAAAACAGTGAATATAAACACAAAGATTCTGGAGAAATAGATATAATAAATACTTGGATTTTCTTCAGACCAAACGCCAAGAACTCTGAGAATAGTCAAGTGAATTTTAAAGCAATCTATTTGATTGTACATCATTTTAATAATCCAAGTTCAGGACTGGCAGAAGTTTTCCCTAGTTCTCAACACGAGAGAAAGTTCTACAAGGAACGAAACAGTTTGTAATTACGATACTCTTAATTAATAAATAAGCAGAGGTGTTAAAATGCATCGCACGTTTTAGTCGCCTTGAAATTTCTAATTTACACCCGTTAGTTCAAAGCAAATTAACAACCTCTAAGAATTAATTCGCAGGTACATTTCCAAGACGTATTGAAATATTTACGTGCAAAGTATATGGAAGCTTTAATGGATGTAGGTTAATTGCTGGCGTCGTAGTTTTTAAATGAGATGCAATTAGTGAAGGTTTCGTTCGGCTAGGCATAAAATGATCCAGAAAATTCTTCAAGCATTTGCAAATTCTGCTTTAGTATTTATAAAGATAATTTGAGGAAGAAAAGTATGTGCTGTGCACTAGTTACGATCAAATATAGGACTTCTGGCACCCTATTATTATGTTCGACTTTTTCTATCAAAAATACAAAGTTTTGGTATGCTATCAACGTTGGTGAACTGTCAGTAGTCAATACATAAGCGAGTGTGTTGAATACTGATCATATCTTTGGCGTATTAAGCTTTTGTGCAATACTATGATACAAAAAACTACGATATTGATAAAAAATAAAACATACTTTCAGTTTTTGAATAGCAACTATCGTGAGACATACTAAATTTATTGAAAATAACGAATGCTTTGAGTCACAACGTGGCCGCGACGTGTACGCTGCTTAAGAATATACTTTTCTCACCTAATTCACGTGAGTCCTTATATTATATCTTATTATGCTAGCTATATTTTTCAAGAAATAATTATGCTTATTGAAACATAGAAAGCAAAACGCCACAAAACACAATCCCGTTCTGTTAAGAAAAGTAAAGATGACTAAAAATAAGAAATAAGAAATAAGAAATAAGAAATAAGAAATAAGAAATAAGAAATAAGAAATAAGAAATAAGAAATAAGAAATAAGAAATAAGAAATAAGAAATAAGAAATAAGAAATAAGAAATAAGAAATAAGAAATAAGAAATAAGAAATAAGAAATAAGAAATAAGAAATAAGAAATAAGAAATAAGAAATAAGAAATAAGAAATAAGAAATAAGAAATAAGAAATAAGAAATAAGAAATAAGAAATAAGAAATAAGAAATAAGAAATAAGAAATAAGAAATAAGAAATAAGAAATAAGAAATAAGAAATAAGAAATAAGAAATAAGAAATAAGAAATAAGAAATAAGAAATAAGAAATAATATTGAGGAAGTTCATCAAGCAAGTTTTTTGGGAATAGTGATTGACAATAAACTCACTTGGAAGCCTCATATTGAAGTCGTGTGCAAAAAACTCAGTACAACCGCGTATGCTCTCCGTCAACTTTCAAAAACAGTCAACAGTGAAGCTCTTTTATCAGCATACCATGGACTGGTTGCCTCCGTTTTGCGATCTGGCATTATTTTTTGGGGGCAGTCTTCTGATAAGGAACTTGTATTTAAAGTGCAAAAGCGATGTATAAGGTCAATGTGTGGTCTTAAAACAACAGATAGTTGTCTTCCATATTCTTAATCACTAAATATATTAACGTTCCCGTCTTTATACATTTTAGAAACAGGTCTTTTTATAAAAACTAATATACAATTATTTGAAAAACTATCAGCAGTCAGGAAAAATCCTACCAGGACTCAATATGTAAACCAAGTATGTCAAGTCAAATGTAAAACTGCTTTTATGTGGAAGAGTTTTTTTGGTATAGCCCCACGGATTTATAATAAACTACCTGATGCAATAAAAAATATGACTGTAATAAAATTTAAAAGAGAACTCAAATAAATATTAATTCAGAAATGTTATTACACAATTGATGAATTCCTTAATGACAAGTCATTTAATTGACATGTAACTTCTTTTTTTTTGACATCATTTCTTTAACTTTTCTTTATTATTTTTTTCCTGACATGATTTAATTTAACATTATTATTCCTATTATTTTACTATTGTTATTAATCTGACATTTTCAGTAAATATTTTGATGATTGACATTTAAAATTTACAGTGACAGTATCAATCTTATTATGTGTAGTCCATCAATTTGTGAAAATAATAATACTTGCATGCCCATGTGACGGTAGAATGTGGAGGGACCTAATCTAATTATAAGAAAACATCAATGTATCAATCACCCATGTTTGCAAAGAAATAAATGATTTATGATTTATGAAATAAGAAATAAGAAATAAGAAATAAGAAATAAGAAATAAGAAATAAGAAATAAGAAATAAGAAATAAGAAATAAGAAATAAGAAATAAGAAATAAGAAATAAGAAATAAGAAATAAGAAATAAGAAATAAGAAATAAGAAATAAGAAATAAGAAATAAGAAATAAGAAATAAGAAATAAGAAATAAGAAATAAGAAATAAGAAATAAGAAATAAGAAATAAGAAATAAGAAATAAGAAATAAGAAATAAGAAATAAGAAATAAGAAATAAGAAATAAGAAATAAGAAATAAGAAATAAGAAATAAGAAATAAGAAATAAGAAATAAGAAATAAGAAATAAGAAATAAGAAATAAGAAATAAGAAATAAGAAATAAGAAATAAGAAATAAGAAATAAGAAATAAGAAATAAGAAATAAGAAATAAGAAATAAGAAATAAGAAATAAGAAACTCAAAAAAAACAACTGAAAAAAAAAATTTTGGTTCATGTTAGTCTGTGTCGCCTTTCTTTAGTGCGGAAAATTGTCAGATGACTTATCTTGCCCCGAGCAGGGCGATGGGGAGTGTCAGACTCTTGCTGACCATCTCGATGCTTCTCCTGTTCCAGGCCGAGGCCGTGGTACCTTATTGCGCTTGTCCCCAGACCCCAGCTGAACTGGCGTGAACTGAGATTCCGAATCAAGGTTTAAAATTACAAACTTCAATTTAGTACAGTTACTATAACTTATTAATGTTTTTATATAAATCAAAGAATATCAAACTAAATTAATTCACTTTACAAACAAGATTTTATAACTAAAAATTATGTATTCTGATCGTTAATGAAACATTGTGTACATTTGCTTTAATTAACTTATTCGTTATGAGAGGTAATCAATCTTAAACATAAACTAATTTTGATATCAAACGAGACGTCAATCCAAATACACATCAAGCTATGTCTAATGTCTTTAACTTTGAAATCGACTGAGTAATTTATATTATAATGAATAAGCCTAAACTGCATTAAGTTAAGCACGTCATTGACTATAAAACAGGCATACATTAAAATTTATTTATACAAATAATACAAAAAAAAGCCTATACTTAGCAAAGTCCTCATGACACACGAAATAGGTTTGAATATTAACCACTACGTTTGTTCATGGGGATTCGTGATTTCAAATTTATTGCTATTTATGAGTCAAGGTGTCCTCACATTGATCTCTTCACCGTTTGTCTGTGGTGTCTAAATATAGGTATTTCGAAAGTGAATACACATATAACTAGGAAAAAGTTTTTGTTAGTAGAGTATAGGCGCATGTATGATGAGTGGGTCTTAAACGGGCTATGGTGTGCGGTAAAAAGACAATACAAACTACGTTCCATATTTTTTGTTTTGTACACAGTTGCTAACTCGAAGAATCCAGACACGATAAGTAAGTAACCAATTTTTTTTTTTTGATCTTACAGTTATTTGATAATCTTTTTTTATATATGATGTCTTATCATATTGGTAAAACTAGCACAAGGGTTAGCTGATGGTAACCAGGGAACTACCCATGGTCATCCCCAACTCCAGACGAGTTACAAGTACGTTGCCTTATCTTTGGGGCTAACCCGGGTCATATTATATACAGCTCTCTGATGAAGTAGACTCATGCTACATTTATTTGTATGTTTAATAAAATAACTTGTAAAATGTAGTTTTAATTTATTTAAATTACAATAATTCAATGTGTGCATTATTTAGTCTCAGTGAGAATAATAAAACATTTTCATAATAAAACGTCGTTCTGTTCCGCATTCCCTCTATTCCTATACTCCTATATCCCGTAATTCCGCACTTTTCAATCTTTGCTGAGAATGGCCACTGGTTGCTTAACTTCAGGTAATCTGCCTGCTCATTTGCCACTGTATCCGAAAGTAATTTTTTTGAGAACAATAAAGTGTGTGATAGTAGAATAGTATAAACAGTTTTTAGTTTATCAAAGTGCACATCTTCGTAAAAACATTGTTAAAATTATGATTAAAACTTCAAGTGCCCCACCAAACTTTTCTGTGTTGTAATAAAAGGTGTTGTTATTCTTTTTGGAAGTGCTGGAGTAGAGTGAAGAATGAATAAGCTGAGTTTATAATCTGAAAAGATAACGGAACAAGTTTAATATTGTTATTTTATTAGAATAAACTAAACACACGAACTTTATAATCGGTATTATAATACAAAAAAATATTATATTCGAAATAATGTATGATGAATCTTGTCATAATATTAATGAGTTCCGAAAGATTAAATACATAGATAAAATAGAACGCACAACAAACAAATTGCCAAAAAATTTTTTAAACACACTAATCACTACAATGCTGGACCAGCACAGTGATAGCATTTTACCATATAAGATCAAATTCCAATAAACGAGAATATGTCATATCATAACTATATATCAAAACTCACATCCATCCCATATTGGGGTTTTACACTCTTGACAGTCAAACGTTTGCTTTACTACTGCAGGACAAACACTTGACTCTACAAAGAGTACCAACGTGAAAAGGGAACATGAACAGAGTGAACAAGAGCATCTTCAAGTTATTTAGAAGATAGAACTTGCAGTGGAGGTATTCTGTTCAATGAGGATAAATTATTTAAACTTCCTTTAATGGCACTTACAGAAGTAAAAGTGTCCAGTGATAATATGAACATTTTTCCGCCAGTAATGGAAAGAGGTTTGTTAGCCCTGTCCACAAAGAAACGCATGTTGCTCTTGAACTGACGCGATCGTGATGTCCAGTCACAATTGTACACGGAAAATGTAAGAAGTTGACTCTGAAATGTGAAAAATTCTGATTAGATAACGAAAGCAAAAAAATAAAATAATCGTCAGGAAACAGAAGAAAACAATAAGAGATACCTTGACATCTTTTTTGAAAACGTTGCCACAGATAAGCCACACGCAAGGCTTATCAAAAAATAATTGAAAAAATATTTAGATTAGATATTTTGAAAACCCAGTAAGTTGTGAACATTTTTATCTCATTCACAATGGATCGTTCACACCAACAATAGCTAGTCACACCATTCTAAGAGTTTTAAAAAAAGTGCTTAGTACAAATGAACGTTCAGACAAACAAACAGACGGGCATAAAAAAACTAAAAATAGAGGTTTAGTTTTTTAGCTCTTTGTCTACAAAAGCCTAAAAAAATATTTACCTTAACCATTATACGAGTGCCAAGCCAACAAGGAGCCATTATTTGTAGAATCATAACGGTCATGTAAGTAGCCAAAAATATATTATATCCCATTGGTGCAGGCTGAAAAAGACATCAATCGCATTAATAAGCATTTATCCGTTTTTGAAAAATATGCTGAAGGTCACAATTAGGTACCATAGTAAATCTCAACAAACAAACGCATATAATACATGACGCTGCACCAAATTGCACAAATAATGTGGCACTGAATACATCTTTAACCAGCTCACAAAACCTGGAAATAAAGAAATTAGTTATTTACTTTTAGAATCCAATGTCATAGAATACTTTAATCATTAAAGTCATACGACAGTCGATACGACTATATACATTAAAGTTTAATGTATATAGTCGAATCGACTGTGCCACTTTTATATGTTGGGGTTGCAAACAAACTTAAGGTTCATCTGATGGTAAGCGATTGGTGGACATCCATACCTGGGAAGCTGATACCTGAGAAGTAACGAGTACCTTGCTGGTCATTTGAATTCGAAAATTATGGATTTGGGGATTGAAGATGAATAGAGAGGAAGGATTGGAAATACAACATCCAATAACAAAATATGGGTCATGAAGCCAATTTTGGATATTTCACCTATCATTAACTTGGCAACGCTAGTAATTCTTTGCCTTCTATTAACCCCAGTGTGGATTCCACTGACTTTAAGTATACTCTAGGTTGAAAAACTGGTCATAATATTATGACCAGGTCGTGTCGATGGTATACAATTTTTTAGGCGTCTTACCTGCAAACTTGGATAAAATGTATGATACATTGATTCATTTTCATGACGTCTTCCTTGGCTCTATGTATGGGTGACCTTGACATCTCTCCATCGGTGTCTTCAATTTTATTTTCAGCTGTGACTTTCCTCAAATTTACGTCGAGGATATCTAACTGCGCTATGGCTAGCACCATTAAGCCAAGAAAAAACGAGTCTACATTCACATTATACAGCATGTGGAAATGTATGGATGCACTCTGATACAGATAAATAGGATAAATGAACATTAGTTTATACTGATCAAAAATAAAAGCATAGCGACAGACAGGCAACAACAATTCTACGCCCAAAATAAGATGGCTGATCAAAGGAGACATAATGTGTACCAAGCTAGAGAGATACGAAACACTCATAATAATCTTCCAATAGGACTTATTAAAATCCTTAGCTTTTTTCAAAATAATAATTCCTTCATCATCGTCTGGTTGAAACACTTCACATTCGAGTATGTCTAAAATCTCAATTATTTTGTCGTGCATAAACACGAAGGTCAATACTTTAGATGTTACGGCCAGGTCAGTGAAATAAAATATCATCTCTTCTATAAAGATATCCAATTGTCTAGGTAAGAAATAGAAGTTGATAGTAAACAGTAAATAGAAGATAATAACGAAAACCATAATGAATACTTTACTATAGTATTTGTAATAATGGCACGGATTGTTATCCGGACAAATGGCAAGGAATTTGAAAAACTTCATGTTTATATTAAAACAATCTATTTGATGGTATTTCATGACTCTTTTGTGAAAGAATAAGTGACAGGGAAATCCTTCTTGTGTTTGTGTAGCTGAGCTTTTAATACTAAATCGAATACTTGTGGCTTACTGCAGAAAATAGTAGAGTATCGTTTATATTAAAAAAATGTATAGTTACATTTACTTTAAAGCTTCTTATAAATAGACCTCGATGATCTAGACTGTCTTCAGAGAGAGAATTAAGAAGATTCCTTTGGCGACGACAAAGGAATTTGGCGTTTTTTTTTTCGATATATATCCATACTGTGTTACTTGCAACAAAAAGTTTATATTTTACATCATTACGTTATTACGTCACATCAAAGGCACCCTGAAAAAAAACAGCTCTCCAAGTATGCGGTTAATTTGTTTTCAGCTATGAATTTTAAAATACTCAAAAATCTAAGTACCTGAACAACTCCATACATTTTTATAGTATTGATCCTGGACAAGGTGTCTACTCTGTTATTAGAACTCAACTACAAAAATGCATTTCATTCAGTCTAATTAAAGACTTTACACACACACTAGTCAAGAACATTAACTACCTTCAAAGTAAATGTGAAACTTTTTCATGGATATTTTTCAAAGTGGAATAATTACAATAAGTGCCGTTTCTATTACAACAGGGTCCGTTGGAAAAGGATGTAGGTTAATTGGTGGTTCCGTATTTTTTAAATGAGATGCAATTAGCAAAGGTGACGTTCGTCCATCTACGAAACGGAACTAGGGATCCGTTCTAATTAACAGTTTTAAGAGACAAAAACTCGTGAAACAATATTTATGAAGGCCTCGAAAAGTCTTTGTTGCTGTTGTTAAAAGTAAGGTCACAATTAATTTATCGGTGTCAATAATTTTCACATTTTGTTTGTATTTCATATTGCACACTTAGTGCCATCGTTCAGCACGACAGGAGTGAAACCACGGCCTTACACAAAAACGGCGTGAAATAACACTTTTTCCTCGTCATATAAGTGAGGTTACTGGTCTTTTTCCTCAGCTTCTCAAATTTCCTTATCCTCAAATCCATAAAAATTTCAAAAAGTGTAGTAACGTACGTTCCGTAAATAATTTAAAATCGCATCCCACTTGTGTAGATTAATATTTCGAATGTTTAGTATTTTGTTTATAGACTATAATATAGTCAATTCGTGTCATATATTTTTCGTTCGGAAAGACATGGGTTTTAGCCCAAATGCAAATTAAATAGCATATTTAAAAAAAAACGTAATAAAGGTATATAATATTATAGTTCCTCTAAATAAATTTGTCAAATAAATTATGTAACAATTATGAATAGATACAGGTCTACGTTTGGAACAAGTATAATCCCAGGTATTTGACATGTAGTTTTGCAGAAGAGGATCTTGACTACTGGGCACAGTTTATAAGTACTTGCAGGTTTCGTTTAAGTACAAAAATATTGTCGCAAATAAACTTTGCTATCATAAACATTTCATATTTATAGCAGTTTATCTACATTTTTTCCTAATATTTGCATACTTTTCCAATACTCTTCATATTATTAATTTGCGGTGGCCCGGAGTCGCCTGCTTCTCAAGCATGAAGGTGCGAATCAAAATTTAACAAGTACTAATGTGACCTATTCCTAGAGAAAGTACATACTACTTCCTAAGTCTATTTAGACACCATTGGCATCAACATCATCGACCTATTAGTGCCCACTGCTGAGTAAAAGCCTGTTATCACACGGAGAAGTTTTGAGCATTAATTACCATGCTTAGGTACTCAATATTGGCGATTTCAAACTTATAATTAGTAATTATACGTCCAGGCCTCCTCTCGATATTTTTCTTCGCCGTAAGTCAATTGTTTGTAAATAAATATAGAAAGTACATATAACTCAGAAAAAATCACATTAGTACTTGCATTAGGTTTCGAACCCACTGTTAAGGCGCCCGCTTCTCATGCATCCCTCATGCATGGGAAGCGGGCGCCTTAACATACAGACCACCACGACTGGTATACGGAGAAGGTAAACATCGTGAGGAACGCCAGGTTTCTCCTAAGTACAGACAGAAGAAGGTTTAAACTTCAAACCTTCTCCGTGTGAGAAGAGACCTTCTTGACCTCCTGTAGTTACTTATTTCATTAAAATAACTTTATAGAATGAACTTGCACGGTTCTGACACATAATTTTATTATTTTATCTGGCCCAAAATCTGACTTTTTTTGTTTCTCCTCACATTTTTTGAATCGACTAGATATGAAGTATATTTTAATTATTATACATAAGATATTAAAATATTTGCTTTTAGAAGCACCTGATGTCAAGCAATCGGCGCCGCCCATGGACACCAGGCGATTAAAAGGTGCGTAGCTTTTGTAAATTAGGTACCTATTTGAAGATTGGAGATTGGGTGAATTTAGGATAGTAGGAGAAATGTGTCTATTGGGTATATCTGAAATAAATATAATTACGTAATTCTAATTTATTTAATTTAAAGTACAATAATATTGTTAACACAATTTGATTCAGGTGAGAATAACAAATCAAGTTTTCATCTATCCTTAGTATATTTTTTATTTGTTTAAGAAAAAATCGGTAACTATTTGCGATGGTGAAGTAAAGGAGCTACTTCTGTGTCCGAAAGTGCTGTAGAAGAGTGAAGAACGAATAAGCTGAGTTCATAATCTGAAAAATATCGAACATGATTAGTATAGCTCCAAACAATTTAGCAAATTTTTTTTTCAAATGGTATAAAAATCACTTATTATTTTCAAAAGGTACAACACAATTCATTTTTTATTTCTTTCTGTTTTTTATTATTTTAAATATGATTAATACTATATAGGTAAGGCAACATGTTCGACGAATAAATGGCAAAATAATTTTTAGTCAGACTCTGACTGTGTAAAACTCTTGCTCGCTCCATTAAGGTCGAGAAAAGCAATAATAGTATTGACCCTCAAAAAAACCTCTAACTGCCGTACTCGTAATCGACAGGGTAATTCAATGATTACTTTAACTATTCCGTAGCAAAGTATTCTTAGATAGAAGAGATATTCGTATACTGGCGATACTTGAGTGGTTCACCAAGCGTGTGGTTTCTGGTGAACACTCTCTAAGGCCTTGTTTACGATCACTCCACCTCACCTCGTACGCTTGTCGTACATTACAGCATCAGATCTGATCATTGCCCACACAAATATAAACGTATGAACATTACAAGCAATGTACGATACACCGCACGACTTTTTCTGCAGTACGTTATGACTAATTTTTTGATGAACCTTCATCCATTTCCTATAACTTACAGAAGTAAACGTATCCAATGATAATATGAACATTTTGCCGCCAGTTACAGAAAGAGGTTTGTTAGCTCTGTCAACAAAGAAACGCATGTTGCTCTTGAACTGACGCGATCGTGATGTCCAGTCGCAATTGTACACGGAAAATGTAAGAAGTTGACTCTGAAATGGGAAAACTCTGTGTAAATGGTATGAGGATTGTTTTATTTTTATAAATAAATATAAAAGTTTGCGATTTTCAGTAATATACAAGAGATCTTGTATTTAAAATAGTAGAAGAAACAAATAGGTGTGCTTGTTTCGATACGAATGGGCCGGCCCAGCCAAATTGATACCATGGCTTCAAGTGAAACCAGCGTAAAATAATGGTTTCGTTGTAATTCGCTACATGAGTGCGATGAGCTAAATAGCAACAAGAAGTAGCCCCTTGAGTGCTCAAAGGGACTTTTGTCCCTTTTTTGATTTTACCGTTGAGTGCTACAAGTGACTATCTTTTAAAAATAATCTTTTTTAAAGTTCAAACAATCATTTTCAACTATAGTCATTGTTTACAGCTATAAATAAAAACATTTGAAACTTAATGTCAACAAACACTTGAACGACTTGAAAGAGTCATTCATTAGCTTGAATAAAAACATTACTTGAGGCGACTTAAATTACCGACACGTCACAAAACATAAACATCTTGTGACCTTGGCCATCTGGCGCGGCGCGGCGCCATTTTTTTTTGCAACGTGAGCACTTGACGTGTTTTTTATGAAATTGGGAAATCACTCAAACGGGTAGGAATGTTTATGAAAATTGTGAAAAGTGACGAACTGGACGTTTAATTACATATAGTAATATTATACAAACACTTATTTAAACAGAATAACCTTCTACCTCATTCGCGATTTTTTGATATCGCACATATTTTAACAAACATTTTATAAAATACGAAGTATTAAAGTGGTTTAAAATGGCCCATAAAATTGCCACTTACTAGGATTTGTTTTTTATACAAAATATTTTACAAAAAACAAGTCCTAGATCTGCCCTATATTTAGCCAGCAGTTATTACAGTTACCAATGAAACCTGGTCTTTTAATAAGCTACACCTGATTGATACCCCGGCCTCAAAGAAAACTGGCGTGAAACAACAATAGCGTTGTGTTTTGCCATGAGCTTAAGGTTCTTGGAAGCTCAGTCCCTCCCCAATCCCTAAATCCCCAAAACCAAAATCCTAAAAATTTCGGCAACGCACTCGTAATTCCTCAGTTGTAATGGGTGTCTATAGGCAGCGCTGATTGCTTACCATCAGGTAAGAAGTTTGCCGTTCTATCACATAAACAAAATACCTTTTCCATAAGACGAGAGCCAAGCCAACAAGGAGCCATCATTTGCAGAATCATCAAGGCCATGTAACTACCCAAAAATATGATGTAACCCATTTCTGCAGGCTAAAAGCAAAAAAACATTTGAAAGTAGTACTTTGAAATTGGTAAAATAATACTATGTATGGATGCTAATGATAATTATTACCATTGTAAACCTGCACAAACAAACGCATATAATACAAGACGCTGCACTGTATTGTACAAACAACGTCGCACTGAATACTTCCTCGATTAGCTTACAAAATCTGGAAGTAAAGGAAACAATATTCATTTTGAAGTTTATGTTGCAGGGGAGTGATATTTGAAGTAAATTCTGCTTTTTTGGCCACTTTGTCAGACGGTATCAAAGAAAAACAGATTTTAACAGGCAATTCATCTTTCTTTTGCCCATCTTACAACAAGGTGAGACCCTTCTACGCACTTCTAATTATTGGATCATCATAAATAAAAATAGGCAATTATATTATGTTATATATATTAGATGCCCATACAATATTATAGGTTTAGTGATGGTTTTGGAAGGTGATAGAACTTTAGGCTGCCAACTAGTACCGAATTCGTTACAAATCATGGCTCTCTCACACTTACAATGTTATCAAAAACTATAAATTCATTCATTATTCGGAGAGGGGAGTTTTTTGTAATCATTCTTAATAAAGGCTTGTCTTACCTGCATATTTTGATAAAATGTATAATACATTGATTTAATTTCATGACATCTTTCTTATTTGCATGAGTCAGTGAACTTGATACCTCTCCATCGGTAACATTAATCTTATATTCGTCTGTGACTTTCCTTAACTTTTTATCAATGATGTCTAACTGTGCTATAGCTAGCACCATAAGACCAAAGAAAAATATATCTACGTTAACATTGTACAACACATGAAAATGTATTGACACACTTTGGTACAAATAAATAGGATAAATGAACATCAGTCTGTACTCATCGGAAATAAAAGCGTAACGACAGATAGGCAACATCAGTTCTACATCCAAAATCAGGTGGCTGATCAACGGAGACAGTATGTGCAACGTACTTGATAAATACGAAACGCTCATAATAATCTTACAATAAGTCCTATTAAACTTTTTAGCTTTTTTTAGAATTATCAATCCTTCATCATCATCGGGTTGAAAAACTTCACATTCAAGTATATCTAGAATCTCAATTATTTTGTCGTGCATAAACACAAAGGTGAAAACTTTAGACGTCACGGCAAGGTCAGTGAAATAAATGATTGTTTCTTCTATAAAAATATCTAACTGCCTAGGTAAGAAATAAAAGTTAATGGAAAACAATAAACTGAAAATGATAACAAAGAACAGAATAAAGGCTTTGCTATAATAGTTGTAATAACGCCACGAATTTTTACCAGGCCAGACGCCGAGGAATTTAAAAAACCTAAAGTTTATATTAAAGCAGTCTATTTGGTGGTATTCCATGATTTGTTTGTGAATGAAGGAGTGTGTGAACCAGCTTAGTAAGTTTTCTGTTTCTAAGTTAAGGGTGGTTAATATCGAGTGCAGAACATATTCGAGTAGAGCGTCATTTGTATTTGAAAATTTTAATCTCACCTTTTCCTTATTTTATGTTATACCCCATGTAGTATGTGTATGTCATCTCAATGGCCTATTGAGTTACCTATATAGAATGATAAACCTGCAATACCAAAGGTATGGTAATTATAAATGAAAAATTCCATACCACGTATTTAGTGTGGAAAATCGAGAAAATTTTTGCTTTACTTTGTATTTATGTACTTTGTTTGCAATACTATATATAACTGCATAGTTGACGCAGTGGCTCCATAACTATTTGTACGACCCACAGACTATTGTTTTGTGTTTTAGCTCAATATTAGTGTGAATAGTGAATATCAAAGAAAAAAACAACAAACGCAATTCGCGATACAACTCCATAGTTCTTGGCGAAGTACAAATGTCTTATTTGTCATTAATATTGAACAAGAAAAGAATGTATTTATTTTTTGTCTAATTAAAGACTTTATACACACTAGCAAAGAACATTAAGACTTCAAAGTGCAAACTGACCTTTCATGGCGATTTATCAAAAGGAATAATTACATTAAATGCTATTTCTTTTACAACAGGGGTATATGAACACGATATAGGGTGATTCCTGGTTCCGCATTTGTAAATACTTAACAAAAATTTTCTCAATTAGGTTTTTTATGTGAGTCAATCGACTTGACGCATTACCTGATGGTAAGCAATCGGCGCTACGTATGGAGACGTACCCGAAAGACCAAAGAAGTTGCAAGTGAGTTGCCGTCCTTTTCGGCATAAGGTTTTTTTTTTGTGAGGGGAAAATCATCAAATGTCTTCTCCCGCCCAGGGCCCGGCGGGAGGGAGTGTCAGACTCTTACTGACTAAAAAACCCCCTGTTCCTTCTCCTGCTCTGGGCCGAGGTCACGGTGCCTCATTGCGCTTACCCCGCAACCCCGGCTGAACATCAGCCCTATAGGGCCCCGTCTGTGGTGGTCTATTGGCTCTTTGAGGCGCGTGCGGAACGTTACGCGCCGTACGCTCGGGCCTGGTTCTGGTCGGGCGACGAGCTGCCCTTACTCGCCGACCGCAGACCCGTGCTTACGGTGGTCGGAGATCGTCCCTTGATCCCCGACGCCCGTAGTGTCGCCAGTTGCGGCGGCTGGGGCGTGAGGAGGAGGATTGCTCCCTCACGCGGGCCGCCTCTCTCTTTGCGAGCATGACTGCTTCACAAAAGGAGGAGACGGCGTCCCAGTTCCTCTCACTCCGCACCATGGCCTCGACTAAGGCCGGGTGCGAGAGGTCGCCGCCGCTGTTCGGGTGTTTCAGGGATTTAGGGATTGGGCATCTGGCAATTCAAACGGCGAAACACAACGATGTGGTTGTGTGCCGGATTTCTGTGAGACCGTGAAAAACCAGCTAGGTAACTTGTGAGGCATGAAGTTCATACAAATTACGTTTTACACCTATCTACTCATATGATGCATATCCATTATTATGAAACAATGAAACAATGAAACAATGAATTTATTTTTGCAAATAGGCCTTAAAGCGGCACTTTTACACGTCAAATTATATGTGAAAAACTAGATGAAGCCGGCATTTCCTATCTGACTACTCTGAGAAGAAATGCCGAAACAAACTCAGAGGTCAGTCTCTTTTCAAGTCCAGACAATATAAAATAACATAATGTGAGAGAACCGTGCAAGTTCATTCTGTAGTGGTCTTTGGAGGAAAGAACCACACCAGTTTAAGTGGACCCGTTCTGAAGACAGGCACGCAAGTGTCAGTTTGCAACCATATAGCTAGTGATGTTGAGTTGTCCGACGAACAATACCGATCAAAAGAACATTTGGGTGGGTCGCGCAAGTACTCAAACTGTCAGAACGCAGATGACTGGTGATAAAAAAGCACGACAAGTCTCACACGGTCCTTACACTAACAATAATATAAAATAATAAAAATGTCAACAAATAAATAAAAAAAAAATTACAAATAAAAAATAAAAATGTCACAATAGGTGATCATGTCATAGTATAAAAAAAAAAAAAAAAAAAACCTAATGTCAAATTGTATATAAAAGTGTAACTTATGTTACAAACATGTCAACATGACCTGTGCAGACATTACAGCGGCTCATTCCCAAGCCTGACTATCCTCTAAGTAGTCTTTTATTTTATAAAATGCTTTACAGCAAAGTTTAGCCTTTATTACACTTTTAAAT